AATCTCCGAGTAGACAAATTAAGCAATATGCCGAGCATCTACTGGAGAGGCTTTAACTATTCTGTCGCACAATTCTAGTAAAGGAAGTCGGTACGCCATGCAAAGTCACATCTTCACATTGTTGCCATCATACGGATGTCTTAATCCTCCTCATAAAATGGAATACGTAGAAAAGGTCATGGAATGGCATGTAAGGTAGAGAGAGAGAAATTAGGGCTGTGGAGAAGGAATGCAGTTACATTGTTGCGTCAGTGTAGAACAAAGGAGGAGCAGGAGGAGGCATCATTACCGAAAACATATACGGCGTCGGTGGAGGGGACAAGCGTGAATGACCAGCGGGTCTCCTTCATGCCGGCCAGCACTGTCCATTGGCCCTGGGGACACCTGGCGTCCGGTGGTGAGAACATCTCCACCACGTCCAGATCTTTCTCACCATCATATCCCCCGGCGACAATGATTTTGCCCCGAAAGTGCGTCGCTGCCAGCGCCGATCGTGCAGTTCTCATGGGTGCGGCTGGCTGCCAGAAGTCCTCCGTGCTGGCTGAGGCCGCGCTCTCTAGCCAGTCTGATTGCAAATGACAGAACTCCATGGAAGGCAGCCAGCAGGAGTCATTCCGACCGCCAAAAACGAAGACTCGGTTGTCGCCCGGCAGGGAGGCTGCAGCTGTGGCGCTCCTCTTCTCTCGCATATCGGGCAGTTTGAACCACCTGTAGTGGGAACGGCAAGGAGACGAGTGAGAAGGCAAAACAGGAGACTTTTGTAAGATAAAAGGGCAACAAAGAGACGCTAGGACGAGTGTGATCTCACCTCTCCTGACTGACGTCGTAGACTTCACAAGAGGAAAGGCGTCCATGGTCACTGCGTCCACCGAAAATACCGATAAGCGCCTTCCCTCCGGCTTCCCTTACGACAGCGGCTGCGTGGTACGAGCGTCCAACAGCGAGGGGCGGCCGTTTGCGCCAGCACTGTTCTTCCGCCAGAAACTCCTCAACGCTCGGTGAGTTCTTCACTAGCTCAGTGTCTCCTCCAACCACGAATATGCTCTCTTCCGTGGTGTGGGTTAGAAAAAAATGTTAATAAAGTGCCTGTATGAGGTGGATGACAGGAGACTTTAAACGATAAAATAAAGTGTACGGTCTACTAAAACAGAGACTGCAGTTGACAGGGAGGAAATGCAACTACTGCAAAAAGAGGGGTAATATCGTTGTCAGACGAAAAGATGTGGATGGACTAGTCCCCCAGTTGAGGAGCCGCCAGTGACGGACCCAAACCATTCAAGGTGGAGACACGGTTGGTAAATTGAAGACGGAAAAAACAGACGCGTCGGGACATGCCAGGTTCAGTCTTGTCAGTTTTCCTGTTTGCTAATTTTTATGGAATTCCACGGGGGCAAGTAGGCAACACCAAGACCTCAAAACCCCCAATTATTACTGCAGTTCGATGAATTGTGCGGCGATGGCATCGGTACTGGCAGGAGCCTGTGTGCGTGTGTGTGTTAAAATTCTCCCAAAACAGGCACCAAATGGTCAAATTCGAAAAAGAGGAAAACAAGGCAGGTGCGCAGAAGCGGGCGTGCGCAACTGTTAGGCAACTCACCACCCACGACACTGCAGGAGCCATATTCACGCTTCCCCATGTCAGCAACCCTTTCTTCATTTTCCAGCCGCGAATCGAAACGCAGGACAGACCACCTGTCCCGACCTTTGCCCCTTCCAAATACGAAGATCGTCGGATGCGGTCTCCAACGTCGGTTGAAGGGACACGGAGTCTTGACCCTGTCTGCGTAAGTCATCCACCGCTCCACCTGAGTCATAAAGCGACTTTCATTAGAAATAAATGACGAACGGGAACAGCATGTACTTACAGGCAGCTGTTGCTTTCCTGAAACAGTGGATGACTATCCACTAGACGATTGCGGAATTGGAGAGTCGTCTGACTCCAACGAACCTCCTTTAACATCTCTGGAGCGTGCACACTCAGCCTCTCGTTATCGGCCTCTTTACCGCCAGAACCCACCCAACTTGAAATGGCCATAAAAACGTCCTCCTCAGAGTCGACTGGCAGACTATCGTTTCGCAGTAAAGTCAGCACGGTGTCAGCAGGCAGGCGAACAAAGAAGTCACTAGATACTAAACTTTTAAACTGCGCATTCATCAGATTGAGGCAAATCTCCATCAGGGATCCAATGCACATAGATTTGGCAAAGTCCCATGTGGTTGCTAGATTTTCTAAATTCACTCTTTACAGCCGACAGTTAGACAGAAAAAAGCCGACACATATTTACCTGTTGGCCATGAATTGCACTGCCCGATTCTCCAGATCAGACAGTTTCACCATTTTCGCAAAGAGCACTACGCTCATCACATTCGTCTGCGTTATTTCCAACTGCCCCGTATAAACATACTGGATGACTGAATTTGCGAGGCTAGAAAATGCATAATAAGTGAGCAAAATCACAGAAAGGAGGATGATTTTACTTTTGAGGCATGGTCGACCACTTTAGGACCGATTTATCCTTCCCGAGGGTGCCACTGAGAGCAGCTCGCAATGACGGAATACGAGCCGCTAATATTATTCGATGGGCATTGAAGATAGCGCCGTGCTTTACCTAACAAACATGCACAAATTTCCGTGTAAAAAACGGTAACCGCTACCTCTATGCTGAGGTCTTCGAATTCTCCCGAAAGGCGAATTTCGTTGAGGGCCGGACAGCTACGAACCAGGGGAACTGCGTCTTCGAATAATTCTACTTCTGCGAGCACCATTTCGAGTGATAACCGGAGCAGGATCGACGAAATGTCGGCTGTGCCATTGGCACTGCCTCTTATCGCGCCAGCGCACTTTACACCCGCACGCAGGCACTCATGACTTTCAGGTGCTGATTGGACGATTACGGCTAAGAGCTTCAGCGAGGACGCCAGAGTCATTTCTATTGGTCAGGGCTAAGCTGGCTAGAAACCGCCGATGGCGTACGTCCGATGCCAAATGAAATGACGTGTAACTGGCTAAGGAGAACAACGGCGACGATAAGTCAGTTAGTGCCAGTGGGTTTTGGTTCGTTTTGTGCTGATAAAGAATGTTAGTGAAAACCACATGGATGTCCGGCTCAACTGTGAAGATAGATCCGATCTATTAACAGATTGACTTCCGCGACGTCAGTGGCGATACCAGACAATTTAAGATTGTGGTGCAATCGGCAGCCGCCTTCAGTTAGACGTCAGAAATTCGCATTTTAGGGGCTACACACAATGTGACCTGTCACACGAAAGGTCCCCCCGTCCACCCTCCCGGCCCTCCGCCTTTTGACACGGCTCTACCGAGCCCCCTCTGACACTTACTGACTCCACCCACCCTATTCACACACCCCGCTTGCATTAACTCATGAACCAGAATCGATTTCTCTTCTCGACCACAGGTTTTACTTTCTACCTCATCCTCATATAAATGTACTGGGTCGATTAGAATTTATCCCAAGCACGCCTATGCCCGCCAGATTCTCCTCTGAATTACGAACGATTGACGATCGCTCACAAACAGACACAAAATTCTGGGCCAGATACGTCGACGACACATTTGTCGTAATCGAGAGGAACCACATTCAGGACTTCAAAGTCTTCTTGAACTCAATATTCCCCGACATCCGATTTACAATGGAAGAGGAGGACAACGACCACTTGCCCTTCCTTGACATAAGCGTCACGAGGATGGCTAAAGGGGGAGTCAGAACTACGGTATACCGAAAGGCAACGAATACTAGACGCATCCTCCCATATCCGGAGTAACCATCCCATTGCGAGTGTTTTCCCATGCGAATTTATGCCCAGTGTCCAGTTTGTGCATGGCCACCTGGGATAGATGGTCGAGTCTCTTCACCGCTAACTGATTTTCATGTATACGGGTTGATACAGATTTACCAGTATGCCGCTTATTGTGGCCAAAAAGTACAAATGGCCGCAATATATAGAGTAAGACATAATTTTGCGTTTACGATAGAAAAATATAAGTATTTTTTAGGAGTTTGAAAGAAACGGCCAAAAATATAAAATTTCTTATTGGCCTCATCTAAAAAATTGCAAAGTACATAGAGATCCGTCATAGGAGTGCAGTATCAAAGCACTGCTTAAAGAGGTAACCTATTAAAGAAAATTTTCTAATCCATTGAAGGCATATTTGTTACTGACTTTCGTTGTGGATGGCTACTTTATTCGACAATAAAATTTCATGTTTGAGTGTGTCTTCAAATGTGACCCAAGCGACCTTCAACATGAAAAAGAATGTCCAAACACTCGCCACTACGGTAAATGTCTATAACAAGTATCTTATTTTAAGGGTATTAACAGAAACATCATACAGAATCTGTCTTTATGGGCGATCGGGTGACAACACTGAAAATCAGCGATAATTCAAGGCCGATCTGAAACGCAACGCTATCCAAAACAGGCGAAAATTACACGTTAATTTAGCGAAAGGAAACTTCCATTTATGAACACAAAATAATAGGTTTACGATTATGCATATCAATTTTATTTACTTGTCACCGATCGGCCTGGCAGTTTGTGACGTTATGAGAATTTTTGTTCCTAAGACGTCCCCGTTGGCAAAATCAGGCAAAATCTCGTTTTTCTTGTTAAACCTCATCTCAATCAACCCCGAATAGTCAAAAATACCACGAAATCTCCGCAAACTGCTTTGGAATCTATACTCAGATTAAAAGGCTGTTGGCAAACCGCCATACAGGAGATTACACTAATTCTTAAACGATACCTAGGTGTAAGCTTCACTAAAACAATATTCTTAAAAATTATCTTATTCGTAGATTGATATTTACGCCGTTTTAATGTATAAGAAGACACTCTTTACATCTAGAAACGAAACTGACTAGATTACAGCCATTTTTGAAAATTCGGGGTTTTTTTGCTATTCTAAAAATGAAGGCAGGCATAGGTTGATGGTAAGTCAGCCCGTGAATTGGTTGCAAATCTGTAGCTCTGTATAACGTCATGATGAATGTTGCTCCCACTGCAGTAAGGTTCAGGCCATTTAGCCAACACTACAACACCTCTTATACTGTAGACCAGTCAGTTTTCGCCCTGAGACGAAAATTTAGAACCCGAGGAAGCGGAGAGCGGATGATCACTGCCCCGCCCCGCAAAATAAGCGAGGACAAACAGTTCATTGATAATAATACTCAGATCATACACAGGCAACTTAAATCACATCAAAGGAAGAAATCAGGCCACAATGGACTAACTATTGAGGAAGGAACGACATAAATCGGACGACTTCGTCCTACTCGAGGAAAAGAACCTTCTAAGGTGGAAAGACAGACCCTGTCTGAGCGTCGTCAGTGGCATTCGGCAGTCGCCTTCAGTTAGGCATCAGAAATTCGCATTTTGGGGCCTCTACACACATTGTGACCTGTCACACGAAAGGTGCCCCCGTCCATCCTCCCGTCCCTCCGCATTGTGACACGGCTCTACCAAAACCTCTCAGACACTTACTGCTTACACTCACCCTATTCACACACACCACTTCTAGTAAACCATGAACCAGAATCGATTTCTCTTATCGACCACAGGTATTACTTTCTACCTCATCCTCATATAAATGTACTTGGCCGATTAAAATTTATCCAAAGCACACCTATGCCCGCCAGATGCTCATCTGAATTACGAACGATTGTCAATCGTTCACAAACAGACACAAACGAATGGAACAAAGCCCGGAGGTAATGATAAATGTCTTAAGCGAATTTAAATTATTAATGCAAAGATTTAATATTACTTTGTTTAGAAATATGAAGATTTTAGAATTGGAGAATTTCAAAAACGTCAAGAATCCTTGTAAGCCATCAGACTTCAGTTTTAGACGTATAGGAAGCCTGTTGCAAACCTGCAGCTCTGTATTATGCCATAACGAATGTTACTCTCATTGCCTTATGGTTGCCCGCAATATTCACAAACAGCCGCCGTGTGTTCGGCCATTCCAGTTCTGAGCAGTCTTCTGGTTTCTCTGACGTAATTATTTTGTCCGAAACTGTGTCAGATCCGATAATCGTCTTCAGATGTTTTTTTTATTCTGCACACCAGTCAGTCTTCGCCCTCAGACCAATCCTGCCCTCAAAAAACAGAACCCATCAGAAGTTCCTGTAAATACGCCATATTGACAGGATAGTGCGTATATTGAAACCTACAGTCAGGAGATATCTTTAGGGGTCAGAGTTTGTCCAGTACTAGCGAAATTGCAGGATTTCTTGGATGCAGAGATTTTAGTCGACAGTCGTCTAGTCAGAGGTATCCGTAAACAGAAAGAGTATGGAGCGCTGTTGCGAGAGCATAGAGCAGGCTGCATTTGTTTGCCTTAACTTCAATACTACGGAAAACTTAAACATTTAACTAGTTTTGAGATCCAAGGTCGGCTCGGTGACCTACCATTACTGAAGACTAGAACGTTAAGAGCGCAGCTCGACGACTACAGTGGAAGACTTCCAAGTCGGAATGACCGACAATTCAGTGCTGACTGCACGACTGCCATAACAAAATGATTTAGCTTAGACTGGAAGCAGGCTTGCACAGCATTTACCTCAACGCGTGGCACTACATTACCCCGGAAATTGGTTGCACATCTGCAGTTCTGCATTACGTCATAACAAATGGTGCTCTGATTTAATTAGGTTTAGACACATCAATCACAAACGACTTTTCAGCCACGAGCAGTCCCATGCAAGCCTAGGTGCATCGCTTGGCAGTAAAAACTTCTCATCTGGTTCGGAGGGTGGGAGGGAGGAGGGGTGGATGGGTGGAGTTTCGAGCGTAGAGATTGGAGTCGCGCTCGAGTTGCGTGTCTAGCATAGGGGTATCCACCCAGTGACAAAAGGATGACACACTCTCAGCACGGTCTTCACTGAAGGCTCGCAGCCGCAGGTGCTCCGAATTACGCTAACTCTTCCCTCAAGCTTGATTTAAACCATAGTTGGTGGTTTGGAGTTGAGGTATTTCTGCGGCTGTACGTCACACACCGTCTGTTTTAAAGTGTGTAGGTTAGAAACGCACAGGTTGAAAATTGCAACGCGTTCTTCCACGCATAGAATCATGGTTTGTTCTTGGGCAGGATTAACATTTGTGGGGTTTATAGCATAGCAGGAGTTCGCAAATTGAGGTAGGGATTCGAGTCCTGGTTTTTAAATTCACATCGTCCACATAGCTACCTACTATATTGTCGTCAGTCGGCCCTGTTTGGTGGATCCTATAAGAGCTACATGACGTCACGAGCTGTGTTGGTTAGCCCATTCGTACCATCTGCTTCGCAGACTACCTTCAGCTGCCAACAGATGCCAAGAGCGGAGTCGCAGGAAGCAGTCGTGATCGGCCGAACAAGGGCTTAATTGGCCTGGCATTTCGCATTCCTGCTTGGACCCATCATCAAGCCATCAAAGACTATTGCCAAATCACCCAAGAGTCCAAACGCATGATGAAATCCGGCAGTCAGCCACTCGGCAGCGTGCGATAAGCCTGGCAGCCGATAATCTCGACGCGTAGTAACGGCATAGCAACTGCATGCTTCAACATTTGGCCAGTTGAGCTGTGATGCACTCAGCAGCTGCCAACTCTGATAGGCATGTTGCGGCTTAGCAACCACATCCTATAAATACTGCAACACCTGGGCAATCCAATACCCGTAGCTCACTCTGTCGTTGGTGATGGATTCGAGTGAAAATCCGAAATGTCAGGCTAATAAAGCTCCTTTTCCAACCATTATATCTCCCTCTTCACGAATACTACTTCCTGGAACTCGCCTCTTCGCTTCTTTTAGCAAATCGCCCATACGGCTGCAGTATCTGTAGAATGCAGTCGCCATGCTATTGCATTCCTATGAAAATTCAGGACTCTCTCCTTTATCAGGGATTGTTGCACATGGCGTGTGGTTGGATGTTGGTGTGATGACTGCTCGATCATCAGGCCCACCGACCTAAGTCCAAAATTTCGGGCTAATAACGCTCCTGTTCCAACTGCTGTGTGCAAAACAGAAGGTTAATTGGAAATAGGACGTGTACTGAGTACGATAGACAGCACAAGTGAGGGGGCTTGTGGAAACGGCCGGGGAAATGGCAAGGGGGACTGTCATAGGCTGATTGGTGGCCAATCAGCACAAAGAAGGTGTGAACAGGGGGCCATGACCTTGATCGTTTGCTTGTCACGCCTCTGTGGCATGATGTCCTGTCGGCCCGGGCAGCATACGATGTATCCCTCCGCCCTAAAGTGGAGATCATGAGGGGGAGGGGAGGGGAACAGTAAAGCTAATAGTGGTTTGTCAGACTACAGCTGGACACCGGTTCGTTTCGTGCTCCAGTCGCGTGTAGACACTTTCGTTAGGCTCGACAACTCGTGGTCGGGTGTTCGCATCATATCGTGCTTTCATCTTCGCCTGTTTTGCAA